AATTCCATGTGGTGGGTACTACTGTATATCACCACTTTATAGCTGAGGTCACAGACTGCAAGAGACAAAGTTACATCTGAATTTAGGCAATCTAAGTCAAGAACGTAAACTCTTAACCGTAAGCCACCCTGCATTCCAAAGAGGAAGAGCATTAAGGGCTGAATTCAGCTAACGGGATGGGGAAGCAAACACCTAGAGAAGCTTGGATCCATCTAGAGGAGTTCTGCCACGACGAGAGCACATAAGACCCATCCTCAAACTTTTGTTACTCAACAGTGATAGGCAGAGATTGGAGACCTCTGAGAGTGATAGCCAGGTAGAGTACTCTACTCAATGTACAGAGGCTAGAAGCCTGGATTTCAGTCCACTCTGATCCTTAATAGCTGGGGGACCCTAAGCAAGCCACTTGACTTCTCTGGGTCTTAGTTGCTTCATCTGTCACTTGGCCAACCACATCCCACTTGTCAGAAGGAAGGGGCTGGGCATGTCCAGCTCAGGGATCTGAGATCTGGCCTCCTCCTCACAGTTACCATGACGCTCTGCCTCTGAGCTCACGGGGATGCCATCCTTATCCAGCCGTTGCTTGAACAGGTTGTGTTCCACATCCAGCTGCTGCTCCCCAGCCACATCCATGGCATCAATGCTCAGATCTGGAAGCAGGAAGTCAGGGTAAGGTACTTGGATCCTAGGAGCAAAGGAATCTGGGTTTTGGAGGGAAAGGGGATGCTGGGACTATCTTGGGGCTGCAGCGGTTAGGGAAAGAAGGTTGTCCTGGGGTCCCGTCCAGAATCTAAGGCTGGAGGTGTGAATCTGGAAGCCCACCTCAGAACTTGTAACTCCCACACCTGGTGGGTACTCACAGGCACAAGGCATGTGCGGAAAAAATACGTCGATGTTGATCTTCAGTTTGTCTCCCCGTGACTTGTCCACGTAGAGTTCAGGATGCACCTGGAGCAGCACTACCTCAGTAAGATTCGACCCCCTGCCTCTCCTTCCCACTCCCATCCCTAGAATACAGAGCCCCGCCCCCGTAGTAGCCCCCCCCCCCCCCCCCCCTTACCTCAGTGGTGAGGTAATACTGAAGCTCGGACAGAAACAGTAGCAGCATGAGAAGGCCACTGACAATGGTCACTGCGGGGAAGGGAGCGAGGGTCAGAATGGCCTCTGCTCCACTCTCTCAAGCCCCCCCATAGGCCAGGCAGGGTCCAGGCGCCCGGCCAAGCTCTTCGACACCCCTGTCCCCGCAACCCCGGCCCCGCTGAGGCCTACCCGTGGCTCCCCCGCAGGTCTTGACCCGGAAGTCCTCCAGAGTCTTGGGGTAGGCATCGAACTGCTTGAGCTTCCCTAGCGCCTCCATGGGGAGCAGCCGGAAAGGGGACGCCAGCCGGCCCGCCCCTGCAGCCTCCTGCTTCCGGCCCGGAGCTTGAGCCACGCCCCCTCTCTTTTCGCACGCAGGCGCAGCAACGCGCACGCTTGGCCCCACCCCTCGCCGGTGTTCTCACTCAGGTCCCACCCTCCCCTCCGGCGGTCGGGTGCTGAGGGCTGCGGAGTTTAAACGCAGTTGTCGGGGGTGAGGGCCATTCCCACCCTGTGGGCGGTCTTCCGTGGACCAGGTACCTGGAGGCGTGGCTGCCCCGCAAAAACAGTAAGAGCCCCATTTGCTTATGTTGACCGAAGAACTGCGCCAAGAACCTCACATGAGATTCTTGGAACAACTTGGAACCTCCTAGAACAGTGACTTTCAAAGCGTCCCCAACCAGCAACCTCATCACCTGGGCACTGGTTAAAAATGCGTGTTATGGGGCCCCACCACAGACTTGCTGAATCAGAAACTCTAGGAGTGGCTCCCAGGTGATTTCCTGCAGTTAAGTTTGAGAATCACCGCTACAGAAAGTAGGTGTGGAGGCGCCTGGGTGGCTCAGTTGGTTAACCCTCTTGATTTTTGGCTCAGGTCATGGTCTCACAGTTTAGATCCAGCCTCGCGTGGGATTCTCTCTCTCCTCTCTCTCTGCTCCTCTCCTGTTCTCTCTCTCTCTCTCAAAAAAAAAAAAAAAAGAGAGAGGAAGGAAGAAAAAAAGGGAGGGAGGGAGAGAGGGAGAGAGAAAAAGAGAAAGAAAAGAAAAAAAAAGTGTGATGTTTATATCCATTTTCTGAAAGAGAAACTGCCCTGGAGAAGGTGAGTAATTTGCCCTATATCACAGCTCATTCTTTTGGACCTCGAAGTACCCTGGGAGCCAGGACCTATTGGGTTGATTTTACTCAAACAGCCTCTCCGTGCTTCTGAACATGGCGTATGAAGGTGCTTGGCTCAGGTCATTTTAGTGATGTAAGACCAGAACTTTGATAAAAGGTGGCACAGGAGACTGTGGTAGTCTGTAGGAGAAACTGACTGACGCACTGGGTTAGGGAAGGCTTCCAGGAAGAGGAGAAGGGACACCAGAGCTGGTTGCTTTTTGGCAGCCTGACTCAGGAGAAGCTGAGCAATGTCAGAGTCCCCCTTCTGCCCTCAGGCTGCAGTTTTCTAGGGAAGGGGGGAAAGAACGAACTAGCTCATGGGAACTGGAAACTGACAGTATGCCAACCGCTCTAATCTATTTTACCCTCAGAACAACCCTGGGAGGTAGGCACTGTTTCAAACCCCATTTATAGATGAAGAAGCCAAGAAGTGAGTTGACTTTACCTAAAGTTAACGGGACAGCTGGGGTTCAAGGCCTGTTTTTTCTGGCTCCAGAGTCTGGGTCCTTTCCGCACATTAGTTACCACCACCAAGTGCGAGTGGCATCTATTCTTGGATGAATGACCAAGGATGTTAGCAGAAATTGTCCTTTACTCTCTGGCTTGTGCCCATTTGGTGCTCTTCCACGTTTAACTTCCTAACCCTCTTTCCTCAGTGAGGCTCCAGGCTTAATGACCCTCATTCACTTCTTCAACACATATTTATTGAGCTCTTCCTATTTCCCAGATCTCCCCTGGGTTATGGAAATACCATGGTAAATAAGATAGGGCTCATGTCTCCCTCAAGAAACTTTCAGTATGGGGTAGAAAGAGGCAGACAAAAAAATGTGTATACACACCACTTAGAAATGATTAAGATGGTAAATTTTGTTATGTGTATTTTACCACATAAACAATTGGAAAATAAATAATAATTAAAGAGCATAATGTGCCTTGTACTCTGAAGCAAATAAACAGGGCACTGTAACAGGGACAACAGGGGTGGGGGACCTTCTGTTTTAGGAATTCCAGAATTAGATGGTCCTTCCCTTTTTGGAATTCTTTTATGTGGCCAAGGAGACCAAGACACTGACTAGTTAGAGACTTCACTCTTCATAATGTCAGGCTTTATACTGATGCTTCAACCTTCTCCATCAAGTGGGATCCTTCAACCTTTGGAGCAAGTGGGGCCTATACTGGACTCATTCACTGCACATGGGGCTGCACTGGTCCCCTGCAGCTACAGCCTACAAACCCAACCAGAGAAGAGGAAGTTTTCAGGCCCTTTCGTTAGTTCCTTCTGCCCTGTCACAGTCTTCTTTTACCTTATATCCACACTGATAAACTTTCCCTAATTGTTAAAGAAATAAATATATTTGCAGATGTTACATGTTCTTCTTTCCCAGTGCAGATGGACCAATTTTCTCTTGAGAGAAATACGGGGACCTTGGTGTATCTGGATTGAAAATAATCACAGTGTAGAAATCCCACTACTTACCCTGAGAAGGAAGAATCATAATATAGCTGTGTCAGTGGGTCTCAGAGTCCAATTAGTAGAGGTTCTTACAGACTTTAATAATACTGAGGTCAGGGAATGAACCCTAAGATGAATGCCATTTAAAATGAGACTTGGAAGAAACCAGACAGGTGAAGTACTGAGTGGGAGGGAGCAATGTGTTCCAGGAAGAGGAATTGCAAGTGCAAAGGTCCTGGGGTGAGATAGAACTTGGAAAGTTCTAGAAACAAGAAAAAGCCAGAATGGCTGAAAACTGTGAGATGAGTGAGAATTTTGGATTTTATTCTGTATGGATTTTATTCTGATACCATTTTAAGGATTTAAGCAGGAAATTAATTTAAGATCATGTCAGTTGCTAGCTGAAGAATGGGTGAGGGATGGATAGAACAGAAGCAGATATACCAGTTAGGATGCTATTGCAGGTTGTAGGAGGAAAACACAAGCTTTTCTTTAGAAAACAAAAATATAATTAGAAAATGATCTTCCATTTTAATAAAAGAATTGGGTTTTTTTTCCTGTAAAATACTTTTCTGGCTAGATCGATCTATTAAGCTAAGACAGTGGTTCTTAAAATGTGGTCCCTGGACCAGCAGCATTGTCATTACCTGAGAATTTGTTAGAAATGCAAATTCTCAGGCACACCCCAGAAAAACCAAATGAGAGACTGTGAGGATGAGGCTCAGCATTCTGTGTTTTTATGAAGCTCTCCAGGTGATTCTGATGCATACTCTTGTTTGAGAAGCACTGGGCTAAGAGTCCCAAGCAAATATTTTTTATTTGCATTCTGGTGCAACCCACATAAGGAAGGCTCTTCTTTCAATATTTGTAAAACATTATTTATATAATTACATAAGTCACAAAACAATAACCAGTGTGAAAGCTAATTATAAAGGTTCTAGTTCAGAGCACCTGGTTGGCACAGTTGGTTAAGTGTCCAACTCTTGATTTCAGCTCAGGTCATGATCTCACGGTTCGTGAGATCTGCACTGACAGAGCAAAACCTGCTTGGGATCCTCCCTCTCCCTCTTTTACTGTCCCTCCCCCTCCCGTGTTCTCTGTCTCTCTAAAAATAAATCAATAAACATTTTTCAAAAAATGCAAAAATAAAGGTTATAGTTTCAGTAATATGTAGACTTAATCCTGGAAACCTTCCTGGTGAAAAACATCTTGAAATGCTAAATAACAATGATCTCTTTGAACATATAGCTGACTCATGAAAAAGTAAGGGAAATTCCAGGGGCTAAAATTGAAAGAGTTAAAGAAAGCAGGGTCACCTGGGTGACTCAGTATTTTAGTTCCCTCTCAACTCCGTTCATGTATCCCATAAATATTTTTTAAATGATTTTAAGTCCCCATTCTCATAGGTCTTATGTTGAGTGTAGGTCGCTGGTGTATTCCAGACAGGATAGAGTGGCAGCTTTGCCCAGGTAGGCGACAAGAGGGAGGTCACAATGTGTACATTGTGATGACATCTATGGAGTAACTGGTGGCATGGAGAACCCCACTGAGAGCTAAGCCTTCCTCCTGTGGGGAGGATACGGGACCCGCCATAAGTTATCTCTCTGTCCCTGCATCTGCCATCCTAGGGCCAGCCAGAGTCCTCTTTGGAGGTGAGCAAATGGATATGGAGGCGGGAGATGATAGACTGGGAGGAGGTGTGGTGTGGAGGGTTGAGGAGCCACGGGGGCCAGTGGAACAGAGAGATGCTGGAGCCTCAGTTCCTACTTCTTCTCAGTCCCGGGTAGAGAAGTCAGTCTGCTGCCTGCCACGAGACTCGTCATCTGGGCTGAACATGAAGCACTTGTGGCAGATTTTTGTCCTGTGGGGCTTCTGGGTGCTCATCTTGTGGCTGATGGCCCCCTGCCTGGATCCAAAACCTGAATCGGCACCCCAGGGAAAACTGATGGTCTTGGTACTGGGGCACTGCAACTGCCCTTGGTTCAAATTTAGGAAGAGTGGCTGCCCATCTGAAACACTAAACTCCTCCCTCTGCTACCACAGAGTTGGAGAACGGGGCTGGTATGCTGAATGCTATGAGAAGATGATAGAGTACCTGAAGAGGGCAACAGAGTCCAGGACTCCTCATGCTGTGCTCTGGTGGCTGGCTAGTGGTCAACCCTGGGCCTGGTCCCTTGCCTTGTCCTTCCAAAGCCTAGCCTATATCCCACATTCCCACCAAACCCCTGCCCTCCTTAGTGCACCTCTAATCTTTTTTTTTGTTAAGTTTATTTATTTATTTTGAGAGAGAGCACAAGCTTGAGTGGGTGAGGGGTAGAGAGAGAGGAGAGAAAAAATCCCAAGAAGGCTCTGCACTGACAGTACAGAGTCTGATGTGGGGCTCAAACCTACGAACCATGAGATCATGACCTGAGCCAAAATCAAGAGCCAGACGCTTAACTGACCGAGCCACCCAGATGCCCCATACTTCTCATCTTCACAACCTCAACCCCTGACCGCCAGTTCTGGGATCTCACCCTCCGGATCTGCTTTCTTTCCACTAGAGCTGATACCCAGGTCCCAACCCCCAATCTCCTCCCTTCTGCTGTTTCTAGGACATGAACTCAGCAAGTGGTTTTGGCAAAATGTGGAAAAAGGTGTTCAAGGGGATTCCCAGACTCTCAGTGAGCCATTTCCATTTCTACTGTGGGACTTGTACTTTGGTGGGGAACTCCAAGATCCTGCGGGCCTCCGGCCTTGGCAACAATATCAACCAGTGGACCCTAGCCTTCGGGTGTGTGCTGGGGAGAGGGCAGGACGTGGGAAGGTCAAGGGTGTCCTCAGAGTTCTGGCAGTTCCTGCTCTCTTTTCCAGAATGAACCAGGGCCCTGTCCAGAGCATTGAAAAGGTGGGGAACCAAACCATAGGATGCTTCATCTATCCTGGGAATGCCAGCAGCCAGGGCTCTTGGAGACAGCTGCTGCTTCTGCTGCTGCTGCTGCTGCAGCTTTCTGGTCTGGTGTGGACTTCAGATGCTCCAAGTGAGGAGGTGATGGTCTGGGACTCCAAATGTTCTTAGTTTGGGGATGAGGGGAGGTCATTGCAGGGGAGGACAGAGGAGCTCCAGGGACACCCTCTGCTGGCTAATTAGGGACATCTGCAGAATCTCCCCAGGTCTCAGCCTGCTGAACCTCCCCCCACTTCCTCATTCTCTTAGATTTTGGAAGGTGGTCCAGTTCCCTAATGGAATGGAAGACTGCAAAGACCCAGTAAGGGTATGGGAGGGAGTAAGATGTGGCTGTGGGGTGCTGTGGGAAGGGGTCCAGTTCAGCCCCCTCTCCCTTTTTTCCCCACCTCCTGGTGATCAGCCCCACCTTCCTTAGGTATAACAAAGGCAGCTGGCTGGATGACCAGGGCCAGTATGCCTTCCTGGGGGTCATGGCTCTGTCTGTGCCTTGCGCATCTGTGACCAGGTTAGGAAAGCGTCTTGTCCATTTCTCACACAAGACTTCTCTCCTCCATACCTTCAGCATAGAGTCTAAAAATTTCTACCTGGCTTTCAAGATTGTGTATAATCTGACCCCTCCCCTCCCTTCTTCTCTCCCAGGCTCACACAATGGGCTTCTTGGTGTTCCCCGAATACCAGCTGCCTTCTGCCTTTTCACACACTGCTGCCTTTTCCTGGGATACCCTTCTCTTGTGTCCCTGGGGAATCCTCTCTTCCTCCAATATGATGAGGAGCAGCTAGTTGATACTCTGTTTTCTGGGCTCAGGGGACCCCTCTGTGTGTTCAGAGTGTGTCTTCCCTGGAGAATATGAGCTCTGTTCTCCCAGCTCCAGGAGGCAGTCTTTCACACTTGATGTTGAATGAGGGGAGCTGGGACAAAGACAGGATTCAGCTTACTGACACATACATTCCTCTCTCATTCACCAGGATGCCTACTTTGGATTTGGATCAGAAAAGCAAAGAAAGGGGTGTGATGACTGTTAATCAGACCAATGATTACAAGGAGATTTTGTCCATACAGAGCATGGAAGCAGAAATGGAAGTCAGCTACAGTGTGTTGGGCAAGCTCACTGTCCACACGTGACACCCTGCAGAGTTCATGCAAGTCCTAGTCCTTTGGACCTCAACAAAGCAGGTTGTTGGGATGACAGCAGCAGCAGCGGGGGTAACAGGCAAAAAGAAATTATATGGAGACCAGTCTGGTGCTGAATAAAATTCTGGTCGTATCTGTTGCCTACAAGGACAATGTCAGGGAAGGATATCTTGATATCCAGATCTCAGGGGCAATATTTTCCTTAATTTTTGTCTGATCCCATGTCATGCGAGGTGGTGTACATTTAGACCCAAGCTCACACAAAGTGCAAGGCCAGACTGAGTTCTTGGGGGAGGCTCTTTTCCTACCTGATGAAGAGATAAGGCTTAGTGTTTCATCCTATGCTGGGGGTGGGTTTTTTCTTTTTTAATTTTCTTTTTTATTTTTTAAAATTTATATCCAAATTAGTTAGCATATAGTGCAACAATGATTTCAGGAGTAGATTCCTTAGTGACCCTTACCCATTTAGCCCATCCCCCCTCCCACAACCCTTCCAGTAACCCATCATATTTATGAGTCTCTTCTGTTTTGTCCCCCTCCCTGTTTTTATATTATTTTTGTTTCCCTTCCCTTATGTTCATCTGTTTTGTCTTTTAAAGTCCTCATATGAGTGAAGTCATATGATACTTGTCTTTCTCTAATATTTTTTTTTTCAACGTTTATTTATTTTTGGGACAGAGAGAGACAGAGCATGAACGGGGCAGGGGCAGAGAGAGAGGGAGACACAGAATCGGAAACAGGCTCCAGGCTCCGAGCCATCAGCCCAGAGCCTGACGCGGGGCTCGAACTCACGGACCGCGAGATCGTGACCTGGCTGAAGTCGGACGCTTAACCGACTGTGCCACCCAGGCGCCCCTGTCTTTCTCTAATTCCACTTAGCATAATACCCTCCAGTTCCATCCACGTAGTTGCAAATGGCAAGATTTCATTCTTTTTGATTGCCAAGTAATACTCCATTGTGTGTGTGTGTGTGTGTGTGTGTGTGTGTGTGTGTGTGTGTGTGTGTATACCACATCTTCTTTATGCATTCATCCATCGATGGACATTTGGGCTCTTTCCATACTTTGGCTATTGTTGATAGTGCTGCTATAAACATGGGGGTGCATGTGTCCCTTTGAAACAGCACACCTGTATCCCGTGGATAAATGCCTAGTAGTGCAATTGCTGGGTTGTAGGGTAGTTCTATTTTTAGTTTTTTGAGGAAACTCCATACTGTTTTCCAGAGTGGCTGCATTCTCACCAACAATGCAAAAGAGATCCTTTTTCTCCGCATCCTCACCAACATCTGTTGTTGCCTGAGTTGTTAATGTGAGCCATTCTGACAGGTGTAAGGTGGTATATCATTGTGGTTTTGATTTGTATTTCCTGGATGATGAGTGATGTTGAGCATTTTTTCATGTGTCGGTTGGCCATCTGGATGTCTTCTTTGGAGAAGTGTCTATTCATGTCTTTTGCCCATTTCTTCACTGGATTATTTGTTTTTTTGGGTGTTGAATTTGATAAGTTCTTTATAGATTTTGGATACTAACCCTTTATCTGATATGTCATTTGCAAATCTCTTCTCCCATTCTGTCGGTTGCCTTTTAGTTTTGCTGATTGTTTCCTTCACCGTGCAGAAGGTTTTCTTTTGATGAGGTCCCAGTAGTTCATTTTTGCTTTTGTTTCCCTTGCCTCCGGAGACGTGTTGAGTAAGTTGCTGCGGCCAAGATCAAAGAGGTTTTTGCCTGCTTTCTCCTCGAGGATTTTGATGGCTTCCTGTATTACATTTAGGTCTTTCATCCATTTTGAGTTTATTTTTGTGTATGGTATAAGAAAGTGGTCCAGGTTCATTCTTCTGCATGTTGCTGTCCAGTTTTCCCAGCACTACTTGCTGAAGAGACTGTCTTTATTTAATTGGATATTCTTTCCTGCTTTGTCAAAGATTAGTTGGCCATACATTTTTGGGTCCATTTCTGGGTTCTCTATTCTGTTCCATTGATCTGAGTGTCTGTTCTTGTGCCAGTACCATACTGTCTTGATGATTACAGCTTTGTAGTATGGCTTGAAGTCTGGGATTGTGATGCTTCCTGCTTTGGTTTTCTTTTTCAAGATCGCTTTGGCTATTCGGGGTCTTTTCTGGTTCCATACAAATTTTAGGATTATTTGTTCTAGCTCTGTGAAGAATGCTGGTGTTACTTCGATAGGGATTGCATTGAATATGTAGATTGCTTTGGGTAGTATCAAAATTTTAACAATATTAGTTCTTCCTATCCAGAAGCATGGAATCTTTTTCCATTTTTTTCTTCAAATTTTTTCATAAGCTTTCTATAGTTTTCAGTGTATAGATTTTTCACCTCTTTGGTTAGATTTATTCCTAGGTATTTTATGGTTTTTTGTGCAACTGTAAATGGGATCGATTCCTTGATTTCTCTTTCTGTCACTTCATTGTTGGTGTATAGGAATGCAACCGATTTCTGTGCATTGATTTTATATCCTACAACTTTGCTGAATTCATGAATCAATTCTAGCAGTTTTTTGGTGTAATCTTTTGGGTTTTCCATGTAGAGTATCATGTCACGTGTGAAGAGTGAAAGTTTGACTTCCTCCTGGCTGATTTGGATGCCTTTTATTTCTTTGTGTTGTCTGATTACAGAGGCTAAGACTTCCAATACTATGTTGAGTAGCAGTGGCGAGAGTGGACATCCCTGTCTTGTTCCTGACCTTAGGGGGAAAGCTCTCAGTTTTTCCCCATTGAGGGTGATATTAGCATTGGGTTGTTCATATATGGCTTTTATATTCTCGAGGTATGCTCCTTCTATCCCTACTTTCTTGAGGTTTTTTTTTTTTATCAAGAAAGGATGCTGTATTTTGTCAAATGCTTTCTCTGCATCTATTGAGAGGATGATATAGCTCTTGTCCTTTCTTTTATTGATGTGATGAATCATGTTAATTGTTTTGCGGATATTGAACTAGCCCTGCATCCCAGGTATAAATCCCGCTTTGTCGTGGTGAATAATTTTTTTTTTAATTTTTTTTCAACGTATTTATTTATTTTGGGGACAGAGAGAGACAGAGCATGAGCGGGGGAGGGGCAGAGAGAGAGGGAGACACAGAATCGGAAACAGGCTCCAGGCTCCGAGCCATCAGCCCAGAGCCTGTCGTGGTGAATAATTTTTTTAATGTATTGTTGGATCCGGTTGGCTAATATCTTGTTGAGGATTTTTGCATCCATGTTCATCAGGGAAATTGGTCTATAGTTCTCCTTTTTAGTGGGATCTCTGTCTGGTTTTGGAATCAAGGTAGTGCTGGCTTCATAGAAAGAGTTTGGAAGTTTTCCTTCTGTTTCTATTTTTTGGAACAGTTTTAAGAGAATAGGTGATAACTCTTCCTTAAATGTTTGGTAGAATTCCCCTGGAAAGCCATCTGACCCTGGACTCTTGTTTTTTGGCAGATTTTTGATTACTAATTCAATTTCCTTACTGGTTATGGGTCTGTTCAAATTTTCTATTTCTTTCTGTTTCAGTTTTGGTAGTGTATGTGTTTCTAGAAATTTGTCCATTTCTTCCAGATTACCCATTTTATTGGCATATAATTGCTCATAATATTCTTTTACTATTGTTTTTATTTCTATTGTGTTGGTTGTGACCTCTCCTCTTTCATTCTTGATTTTATTTACTTGGGTTCTTTCTTTTTTCTTTTTGATCAAACTGGCTAGTGGCTTATCAATTTGGTTAATTCTTTCAAAGAACCAGCTTCTGGTTTCATTGATCTCTTCTACTGTGTTTTTTTTTTTTTTTGGTTTTGATAGCATTAATTTCTGCTCTAATCTTTATTATTTCCTGTGTTCTGCTGGTTTTCGGTTTTATTTGCTGTTCTTTTTCTAGCTCCTTAAGGTGTCAGGTTAGGTTGTGTATCTGAGATCTTTCTTCCTTCTTTAGGAAGGCCTGGATTGCTATATACTTTCCTCTTATAACTGCCTTTGCTGCGTCCCAGAGGTTTTGGGTGGTGGTGGTATCATTTTCATTGACTTCCATATACTTTTTAATTTCCTCTTTAACTGCTTGGTTAGCCCATTCATTCTTTAGTAGGATGTTCTTCAGTCTCCAAGTATTTGTTACCTTTCCACAATTTTTCTTGTGGCTGATTTCGAGTTTCATAGCGTTGTGGTCTGAAAATATGCATGGTATGATCTCGATCTTTTTGTACTTACTTAGGGCTTTGTGTCCTAGTATATGGTCTATTCTGGAGAATGGCCCATGTGCCCTGGACACCCATCCTCTGTGTTCAGCTATCGTCCACTCCCTGCTTTTTCACTCTCCGTGACCAGGCCCAGGCAGTACTTCTCTAACGAGTTTTGTCTCAGATGTGGCTGTTTTTCCTGGCCCCTTATTTCCGAAGGACTGCGGCTTTGACCCGTTCTGCCCCTCTGTGGGAGGGTCTCACCGAGCAATGGCCGAATGAGCAATGGCGGAATGTCGGCTGCATCCAGGAACGCTTGCTGGACCCTGCTGCTGCCGGTGCCTGGAGACTGCAGCCAGGTGCCAGCCCGCCCCAGAAAAAGCTTGTGAGACAGTGTAGCAGCATTTCAGGGATTATGGAAAATCACAACACACATCTGGTACCTGGCTTCACCCTTGCCAACCTTGCCCGAGCACCAGCAAATGTGGCCGTCTTCTGGAGTCTGCTGGGACCAGGTGGCTTCAACAGTCTTTATCAAATGTCCTTCCAGCAGTGGAACCACTTTTCCCCGTGTGGCTCAAGAACCTCCCGGACCCCACTCTGCTCCTGGGGATTTGCCCTTCCCAATGCCAGGTATCGAGCTGCGGGTTGCAGCCTTTGTGCTCCCCTTGTTTACAGTCTTAATGGAATTTAAACCCTCCCCTTTCTCCTTTATCCCTTTTTGGTTTAGTCCCTGTGGCTATTTCCAATTTTCCACTTTGTCTCCAGCTGCTTTTGGGGAGGGGTGCTTTCCCCGTATTCTCCACCCTGCTCCCCAGTCTCAGTCGTCTCTCCGCCCACAAAAGTGGTTCCCTACCCTCCGCTGCTTCTCGCTCTCCAAATTT